ATCCGCTTTGGGGGGATAACCACCCTGGGTTTTTTTTCTTTCTGATGAAGTCATTTCCTTCTAGTGTGTATTATTGTTCTCCAAAGCTGCTCCCATGCTCATTCCCATAAAATTTTAAGATTGAACTCTAATAATGCATGTATATAGGTAGAGTTGTACCCCAGGGTTAGTAATACTGGCTAACAATAATTTCAGTTCACATTTAAAAATGTGTTTGTAACTGTGGGATGCTAAATTAAAATCTGAACTTAGTTTTGCTCCAGCAAATACAGTTTCTGTGAATTAAACCCCATGGCAAAAAATTTCACCAAGACATAGCAATCACGGAGAAGAGATATCAGAAACATCTGATGATCAGTGCTACACACTGGTGCAAGAGAGCAATACTAAACAAGTGAAAAAGCCTAAAACTGTGATATAACTGTATGACTGGAAATTTCATTTTTTTTTATGCATATGTAATGAATTTGTTATTAAAGATTAGTTTTTGTCTTTGCATGCACCATACTTAATAGCTGTGCATAATGTAATAACTATGATTGTTAGGTAACATATCGTGGTTTTTTCTACCTATAATAGCCAAAATATTGACCCTAAGATTTAAAAAAAAAAAAATTATGCTAAACTAAACAAGCTCAGATTTGCGATCAGTGCATCAAAGTTTAAAACGACCAATTTGGACTCTGAACTGGATAAAATGTTAACTTTGGGTGGTTACTTTAATGTAAAGTTAAGTGCTAACCCAGAAAGGTGGTATGGTGCTTCGGTAGGGATGCACGAAGGGAGGAATGTGCAAAGGTGACAAGGGAGTGAAGAGCAGGGGTTAGTGGAGGCAGGAAAGAATCCAAGAGGAAAATTAAATAAATACAACAAGCTAGTTTCTGTGAAAGTGTGTGTGCATTAAAGGTGGGACTTTCAGCAGGGTCAGTTAGTTAGCGTGTTGGAGCAGCAGGGATGACAAGTGAATTTTGCATGCCCACTGATTGGCTTGACAGTAACTATTAAAATAGTGTCAGGGCTAGAGCTCTGTTTCCTGGCCCTGCCTCATTACTTTTGCTTCCAATATTCTGAAAATGTATTTCATAACATTCATCTCAAAAATGGTCACTAAATATCTACAGCATCAACACAGAGCCACTGGGCACATAATCAAAATATTGACCATGGTATATTGTTCTAAACAATTCTTAAATTTCATAGTTATGAACACCTGCCAATAGTACATTTAGTTTGTGTGCAGTCAAGTCTTTCTCTCTCTCTCCCATATCTGTTGTATTTCCTCATAGTTTAATACAGTACTGCTTCCATGTGTGGATGTATGTGGGAAAGTGGGGCGGGGTAAAAGTTATGCATATACATGTTGCATGCCCATGTATTGTTTCCTGTCCTAATAGTATCCCTTATTGCCTAGCCTCCACTGGTGTGACGTCAGCTGCTGCTACACCTGCACCAAATGTTCCGGTTCCTACCAATACCACTCCTGCTGTCAATGGCCCAACCTCTGCTGTCCCATCCAATGTCCAACCCACAATTAGTGGGATCCAAACCCAACTGCCCTCAGCCCACCCTACATCTACACAGATAACTCAAGCAGGCAGTGTTCATAGCAACTTAATCCCTCCTGTTCATCAAAGTCATGCCCAAATGATACCAACCAGTGCCACTCCAGGAAACATGGTTCCTTCCCATCCACCTCAGATGGGTTCAGTTCAAGTTGGACATCCCCAAATTCTACCTACGAATGCTCCTGGAAATTTGGTGCCTCCACATCAACCCCAAATGGGTATAATCCATGCAGGGCTTACCCAAATGCCCCAGACTAATGCAGCCCCTGGAAACATTATCCCTTCTCATCCAGTTCATATCCCCACAGTTCATGGGGGTCCTCCCCAAATGACCCAATCCAGTGCTCCACCTGGTAATATCATGACTCCTCATCCTGCACCTCAACCATCTCTCTTACCTTCTTAATGTTTACATATGACATGGCACCCGTGTTCTATGAGAAAACTGCTTGAGAATGTCTCTAAAATTCCATATTTGACTTGTTTGCAACAGGTAGTGACTTAGATTGCAAGAAGAAATTGCACTCAATATATGGTCTTATGTGCTCTCAAGCAATGTTCAAAGGATCCGAGGCATAAGTGCACGTGTTGCATTGACACTGGTCCAGAAATATGTTAGTGTAATGATTTTCCAGTAGGATGTTGAGGCTGGGAGCAGTTTGTATTTTCTTTATAACCCTTGCGGTTTAGCGCTTCTTTTGATTATAATGTATTTTCTTTAAGGAGATAGACACTTTTATCCTATTATAAATGGATATATTATAGCTTAAAACACATTTTGAAGGTTATTCAGATGTATAAATAGCAAATTCAGGAGCATAGAATTTATCACTGGAAGTTCATTTTATTGTCAAATGCAGGTTTTAGAATTTTAAGTTTGTTTTTATTAACTTAATTTTTGGGACAGCTCTCTCTCTCTCTCTCATTGCTAAATTGTAACATCAAGGCTTGAGGCTCAAGGAAAGGGACATATATTGAGGTCCATGCTTTATTTTGAAACTAGTTAAATGCATAAATTATCTTTTCCAATGAGTCACTGAATATCTACAAATTAATGTTATATTAAGTAAGACCTAAGGTTTAAGTTAAGGATTGTACGATTATAAATACAAAATGAATTTTAATAAAAGAATTAAGTCATCATACTCTTTCCTAATTCCAAATTAAAACAGACAAACAAAAAAAGGGCAACTAGATATAATATGAAACGGTCAGTTAGCTATAACTGACAAGGCCAATAATTATTTTATTTTTCCCTCAGGGCCCTCTCCAACCAATGAAGGATGCCCCCAAAAGGGGGAAATTTTTCAAAAACAATTTTTCCCGTCACTGCCTTTTTTTAAAAAGTGTAATGACATCACAATTAAGATTACTTTTGGACTTTTGCATTCCCACCCCCTTCAGATTGAAAGGACTATACCTCCACCCCCATGACTTGAGCGGGGTAACCTTTTTCCCAGAATTCCTTATAAATATTATCCTGCAAAAGCATGTCAACCCCAAAAAATTCCACTTTTTTTCATTTTAAATTTAAAATGTGCTCCCCCCAAGCCTTTTCAATGTTCCACCAAGTATTTAAAAACCCCCTTTTACCCTTTTTCCCAAAACCTTTTCCTGGGATGAGACCTATCCTCCCCCTTTAATTTTCCCCCCAAGATTTAAGAAACCCTCCTAGTCATCCTACTTTGTCGTTTCCTCTCAAAATGTCCACACTGCATTTATTTCGGGTTTGGCCCCAACACCCCCTAATCTCTGCATAAAAAGTCCCACCACATTTTTTGCCTAAAAATTTCTCCCCCCTGTGGGCCCCCCTCCTGTAATGTTTAACCCTTTGAGGGTCCCCCGGCCCCTCAGGGACTTGTTCCCGGGGTTCCCAAAATTTAAAAAAAAAAAAAAAAAAATTTTGTTTTTCTTTTTGAAAAGATAGAGAATTTTTTTCCCAATCATAATGAAAAAAAAAGTATAAAAATTTGGGGGAAAACTTACAAAATTTTATGCTCTCACAAAAATTTTGGGGCTTGAGGGATGTTTACGCTTTGGCTTTTTTTGCCCTTTTTTGGGCCCAAATTTCCCCAGTTTTCCTAGTCCCAAAAAAAAAAACTATTTCGCTGGGAACCCTCATTTTTTTATTGAATGATTTACAAGAAATCCCCCTTTCCCAATTTTCCCAAACACCCTTTTTAAAAGGTGGTCAAAAATTTAGAAAATTTTGCCAATTTCCCCAAAATTTTCAAAAGATCCCCAATTTTCCCAATAGGGTCCAAAAATAAAAAAAGGGAAAGACATTCCGGGCCCACTAAAAAAAACATTTCCTCGGGTTCATCAGTCACGCCCCGGGGCCACCTCCCCCCTTTTCTTTTGTTTTCCCATTTTTGTTTTTTTTTATTCTAAAAAAAAAGTAAGTTTTACTGTTAGGGGGGGATACTCCCTTAGTGTGAAGGGTATAAAAAATATCGGCGCACTTTTTAAAAGGAATATTGGGACTCACCGGGTTTGACGGGGTTTTGGACAAAATTAGAAAGTTTTTTTCCTTTTGAATTTTGGAAAAAATTTCGAACTTTTCTGCTACTTTGAGCTCAATTTCAAGGTACTTTTCATTGAAAAAAGTAAAAATTTCACCCAAATTTTCTGTAAATAGGTTTCCTTTTCTATACAATGGGACCAGGAAAGCTGGGAATAAAACCCCAAAAAATTACCTTTGGGGAAAAATTTACGGGTGAAAAAGTCGCTGTTTTAAAAAAAAAAGCATGGCCCCGTTTTTTTTTTTCATTATGCACTGTGTGCTGCGGTTTTTTTTAAAACGGCGACACGGGCCCAACAAAAGGCCCCAATTTTTTCATATGTACCCCCACCAGCTTTTTCTTGCTAGTTTTGGGGGCCCGCAAAAATTTATGCGTATAGTACGTAAAAAACCCCTGGCGCTTTTAAGCCGTATTTGGAGGGCCCAAAACCCCCAAAAAGGGTTTAAAAAACCTCAGGGCTTAAAAACCCACAAGTTTTGGTACCCCCTACTTGGTATATTTCCTTTTTTCCCTTTCCATGGATGAATTTGTCTCTCCACAGTGCCACCCAATTTTTTTCCCCTTTCTTTTAACTCTGGTTCCCCTCATTTTCACATTCATAGGGCCACCCTTTTAAATTACCCCCCCAAATTTCCCCTCTCCCCAAACCTTTTTTAAGCTTCTTTTTCGAATCCCCCAAAAAGAGCCATATCACGGGGAAAAAGAACAATTGTGAGGGACCCTCTGTTTTCAAAATTTATCTATTATTACCACACCTTTCCCCAACAAAAACCCTTTCATTTTTTCCCTTTCCCAAATAAATTATTTTAAATATAATTAAGTGAAAAACCTCATTTTGAAAAGATTTTTTAATAACCTTTGGGGACATCACACACCCCTGTCAAAAACCCTGCTTTTAATGAAATTAATCCCCCCCCCTACACAGTATTATTAAAATCAAAAAGTTTTTAAAACCTAAAAAGGGCCCTACATAGTATATATCCTAACCTGAGCCCCACTGTCTGCCCGCTCCTTTTTACCCATGCAATTTATTTGAAACATCTGCCCCATTGTTTCCCCATCCACCCATCATATGCCCTTTAAAAAAATATACTTACTGTAATAATTTAAAAAATAAATTTATTTTTTGTCATGGAGAGGGCTTTGCAAAATTTAAATTTGCTTTTTTTCCCCCCTTTTATGCCCTTAATTCACTTCTCTAAGACTAACTTATGCTCCTTCTTGAAAAACTTTCAAAACCCCCAGTCCTTTATGTATAGCCCTGCACTAGTAGTTTCCCAAAACCCCCAAAAAAAGTAGGATGTTTTAGCCATTTTTTTAAAGAGTAAGTAATTTTAGGGACATTTACTAAAAGTTTAAACCCCGCACTTTTTTAGTAGAAAATTTCATCAATACTCATTCCCATCACCGTGTAAAAAAAAAAAAAAATTTCTGCCTCGCCATTCTTTTAAGGGCGGGGACTTTGGGCAGCCCAAACTTCCACAAAAAAGTGTTCCTTCCTTGTACTATTTTCTGTACAGTGTACCTTGAAATCGAAAAATTAAACCGTTTCCCTGAGGCGTCAAGTAGTGAGCTGTAGGAATATTTTATCAATTTTTAACCCAAAAAAAAATAAGTAAATTGAATTAAACCCTTCCCGACCCCCCAAAAAATTTCCAATTATAAAAAAAATTTTTGTGAAAATATTTTTTTATTTAAAAACTGTATTTGTAATATTTGGGGCATAAAAAAACACATTTGAAGCCCTTTTAAAAAAAAAAAAATTTCCTGAAATAAATGAAAATTTTAAATGCATTTTACCTTTGCTGAGGAGTGTTGATGGCCTTTAAAAGGGGAAGGGGGAGGGGGGATGTTGTTTGAAAAATTGAAAAACATTTTTTCCCTAAAAAAAATCTGGTTAAATGCCCATTGGTGTTTTTTCTCTTTTCTGGGCTGGGGCAGTAGCACCTGAAGATGATGGGGGGGTTCATCCATTTTTTCCAGTGTTGTTCCTTTTGGTGACTTTTAAAATTTTTTTAAAATGGTCAACAACATTGTCACGGGAATTTGGTGATTTTAAGATGGGGGGGCCCTTTTTTTTCCCAAAGGGTCTGGTTTGGCCCAAAGGTAACAATTTGTTTTCCCTTTAAATTTTTGCAGTTTGGGAAAGATCCCCTTTGCTTCCCTCCCCCTTTAAAGTAATTTCCTCAACCCCTTTTTTGCTGCCTTTTTTGAGTCTTGAAGTTTTTTTATTTGGGAAGTTTGTTCTTATGGGTCCTCCACCCAAAACCTTTTCATCCTATCATTTCCCTTTCCAAACCCCGGGGCGGGCCCGAGGGAAAAAATTTCCCTTTTTACTACGGCTCTGCCTCAAAGCCTTTTAAAATTCTGACTGACACACGTTTTTCTTGCCCTCCAAGCCTGGAGGTGGCGGAGCTTATCCATTACCAGAAGCTTTTTTTAAAGGTTTTTTTCTGCAAGGTACTGGCCCTTTACACTTTTTGGGGGAACCACTTCAAATAACTACTTGTGAAAAAAAAATTTCCCTTTTTACCCAAAAATCTACTATTAGCCCTCTATTTTACACTGAGTTTATTTTTAAACACATTGTTTTTTGTTTAAAAACCCTTGGATTTTTGAGTGGTAAACGCAAAAAGTTTTTAAATTTTTTAAGGGCCCCACTAGAATTCCCCCACCAAAAAGGTGTTAGCCTGTCTTTTTACGCATGCAAGTTAAGCCCCCACCCGTATGTTTCACTTTAAAAAAAAAAAAATATTATTTTTTTTTTTTCTTTTTCGTTTAGTAAAACTTTACAGGAAAAGGTTTTTACTAGGGCCCTTGCTCCTGGCATTTTTTTGTTGACTTTTTTTTAAAACGATGGGTTTAAAGGGGAAAATTCTTATTTTCCCCTTCCCCCTGGATATGAAAGGAAAAAACCCAAAAAGAACAAAAACTACTGGATTAAATCAAAGACAAAATTTAGATGAGTTTGTATACAAAAAAAAAAAGTGAACCTGTATGTTTTATTATTTTATGACGTTTTTTAACCTGGGGGGGGCACAAACATTTTTTGTATGGGCCTAAGTGTAGGTTTGAAGTAGCAAGCTACCCCGAAAAAATTGCCCTTTTTATGATACAGAAAAAAGACACCAGCAATCCTACCATCATTTAAAACAAAATACAGGCTTCCATTTTACACTCACTTGGTAGGATGGTAGTTATTATTATATTATAAAGGGGGAGTGCTAAACCTGTAGGATTATGCAGTGCCTGTGGGGGGCATGTGAAAGGTATTCAGGGAACTGGAACACAGATCTAATGCCTAGATTAAGAGGCCCTCACCAAACATCAAGGAGCCTTCCTTGAGGGGTAGGACAGTAGTACCTCCCTGGGTGGTTGCATATAAATCTGTAGGGGAAAGGAAGGCGGGGTAGGAGTCGTCCTCAAAAAGGTTGGAGGGAGGGGGTAAAGGAGGTTCTGTGAGCAAGGGGCTTGAGTTTCCAGCAAGCGTGCATGAGTGTGTTAGATAGCAGTGAATGGAGACAAATGGTTTTTGGGACCTGACGAGCTGTTGGAATGTGAGCAGGGTAATATTTTGTGGAGGGATTCAGGGAAACCAGTTAGCCTGACTTGAGTCCTA